TTTTCATATCATCCATCTTGAAATTGAGATTAATGAAAATTCACACACGAGGAACAATGACAGCATTATTAATGTATTGTTTACAGTTTTATTAGAAAAATGTTGCTGAATGTTATTTCTGTAGGTTTAATGTCAAACTATGTTCCGTGTTGGCGCCTTCATGTATCTTGGCCATATTTCTATGTACTAGGAGCATTTGCCATTTCGGGGCCTGTTATAACTGACTATGCGGTATGGGCTTTGCTCATTATTGAAGGTCGTACGGTGACCGATAGTTGTTAATTTCTGTGTCATTTGGTCTCTTTTGGAGAGTTGTCTCATTAGCAATCAAACCACATTTTATTATTTTTATATTAAGGTAAAATTTTTAGAACTCTGAGAAAGTTGCTAAACTTGATAGAATAGATATGGATTTTGAATTGGTGGTCTGACACCTACAGAACGGCGATTCATACCCGTAGAAAGAAGGAATGTGTATCCCACATTTTCCTACAAAATACTGGATCCAAAATTAAATGTAGACATGATATATAAATATATGCTTTACATGTCGTTCATACATTCAATAAAAACAAAAATTAATATAAAACAAAATTATTTCATTTGCTGATAAAATATACATTTTGTTCCTTGAAGAGGTGAATATTTCCTATGAACCCATGATCGTTTCTTTTTTTCAGTCTCTTGTATTTTCGCAAAAATCCCGGTGAAGTCTCTCCCTTCTGGTATCGAATGTCTCGAAACTTTACGTAAAATGTAAGGAGGGGGCATCGTATTATTTCCCGCAAATTTGTTGTATCTGATTACCAAAACTTGGCAAAAGAATATACTCGTAAAACATTGAAAATAAATTTTGTATCATTCTAAATGTTATTAAACATACATTTTTATAGCAAACACAATGTGTTCTTTATTATTTCTCTTAAATTGTAAGCTCACCTGGCCCACAGGACCAAGTGAGCTTTTCTCACCACTTGGCGACCGTCGTCCGTCGTCGTCTGTTAACTTTTACAAAAATCTTCTCCTCTGGAATTACTGGGACAAATTTAATCAAATTTGGCCACAATCATCATTGGGGTATCTTGTTTAAAAATATGTCTGATGACCCCGCCTGCCAACCTAGATGGCTGACATGGCTAAAAATAGAACATAAGGGTAAAATGCAAGTTTTTTCTACTATTATTATTATAAATAGAGAAAATCTGACAGGGGCAAAAATGTTCAAAATGTTGAGCTCTACCAATTGTCTTTAAACGACAAAACTGTCAGACGACTTCTAATAGGAGTTATTGCCCTTAAATGACAAATTTTACCAATTTCTTTCAGTTTGCCTATTATGATGAAAATTATAATAGATAGAGAGAAACTTTAAATTGCAATAATGATCAATAAATTGCAAATAAATCTGAATGATCAAAATCGTCAGTCGACTCCTTATTGGAGTTATGGTCCTTTGATGACGGTTTTTACTATTTTTTGTGTTTTTACCTTATATCTTAAAAATCAAAATAGATAGATAGAAACTTAAATAAGCAAAAATGATCAGCAAGATATGGTCTACAATTAGGACTTCATCAAGTAAATCGTCCGACGGCTCCGTATTGGAGTTATTGCTCTTTAATGACAATTTTTACCACATTTGTTTGCGTTTTGTCTTATAGGATAAGAAATATAATAGATACATAGACACTTTAAATCACAAAAATTATCGGCAAGGCAAGATCAACTAACAAGTCAAATTTTGCTGATATAGTTAGCAGACTGTCACTCTTTATAGGAGTGATTGCTTAAATGAGGATTTTCTTGCCCTCTTTTGTGTTTCGAGCAGAAACTAAAAAAAAGATATAGAGAAACTAAACAGACTAAATGATCAGCAAAGCAAGATCAACGAAACAGCAGAGATTTTTGTCATGAACTCTATTCTCGTCTACAATGTCATAGACCAAGGTGAGCGACACATGTACTTTAGAGCCTCTAGTTTTTATTTACGTCTTTTATAGATATAGATTACTTCATGTTTAGTGCTTCTTTAATTGAATATGAATAAAAACGCCATCCGAAGATAGCGTTTCTTTGTATAACTAAAATCCCTAACAACAGGACCAACACCGTAAAACTTTTCCGATTTTCCGTTATTTTTTCAACGGAAATTAAGAACATGCTTGGAATTCAGAGAAATATTTGAAACGGAATTCGTCCTCTCTCACAGATAACACCGAATCATATCATTAAATGAACAATTTTTTGTCATTTTGAAAAAAAAGATAGGTGGTTGGTTCGTGATGTTGTCTTGTACTGTAAATGTTTTTTTGTTATCCCTATTGTGTTTATATATACGTAATGACGCAATGGTCATTTCTAATATTTTCAGATTAAAGAAGGGTCTTGAATTCGTAAATAGCATATAGATCTATCTTGCTGTCAAAACATGTTTCTTGCATGTAATTGAACACCATTTCGAATTTGTCTAGCGGATAAGACTGGTCATACATGTTTGGATTCATAATTACCAGTCAAAGCAAAACAAAATGTAGAGCTATGTCATCTGAATAGTTGGTGAATGTTTTTGTTTATATTGATCGACATTAAAATCTTAAAAACAAAACCACAAGTTTATCTAATGAACCATATGCAATTTGCTCCATATTATAAATTGGAATATTGGTTACTTCATCCATTTATGTTTTCGTTATTGGTCTAGGAAATTACATTTCCGTTTTAGAACCACGGCAATAAAAAAGTATAAAAAATGAAAAAAAAAAAAATTAAAGAAAATAAAATAATATAACACGTTGACATTTTGTTGAATGAAGTAACAGTTAAAATGTGAAATTGTCAAACATGTTTTAGTTTAACATGTTTAATGTATACAGTTTCTAATTGACAATGTTTCGGTGGATACTGATTTAAAACTATGTTCAAATGATGAACGACTTCTGCTTATCCTCACATTATGGTACTGTATTAGGCAATGCATCTTACTTGACAAAACGAAGGAAAAAAACATCAAGGAAATATATATACAGAATGTCAAATTGGAAATCTTCAAAAGTTGTGAATGATTTAACAGTTATCATCCACACAGCATATTTCAATACACGCAATAAAATCAGTTCCGGATACACAGAGAAATTTCACTCATATGAATTTCACGTGAATTCAGATTCACTTGAATCTCACGTGAATTTCACTTCAAACGGGATTATACGTGAAACTCACGTAAACTTACTTCATTTCTCTTGAAAACTTATATGACTCTTATGTGAAACTCACGTGAAAATCAAATGATTTTTTTTTACAAAATATTCAAATAACATCTAAATTATAAAATTTAGTTCAAATCGTGCAAAAAATACTATTTTTTTTGTGAAGTTCAAGTAAAATTCAAGTGAAAATTTTCTCATGAGATTCAAGTGCAATTCATAAAAATCTCAATTCACGTGAAATGCACGTGACAATTTTCTTGTGAGCAATTTTCCCTGTGTTTATCAATTACCTTGCCCTTATTTGTATTTCTTTCTGTGTCGTTGAGTTGATTGGCTCCAGATATAAATCAATTTCCAAGGTGAACATATATGAAAAAAATATTATTTTATAAAATGATTTCCCGATTGGATATTTTAATTACCTGCACAAAAGTCTAAACAATAAAATTAAAATATTTCCACAGATTATCTCCCAATCTCATTTTCCTTTCAATAAAGCAGCCTTGAAAAACACATTATTAAGCTATCTCACGAGATACCTGGGTAGAAAATAGTTCGTAAAATTAACAAGTTTATCAACCTCAGAGAAATGATAACCAGTACAATTTTATACTTTTAAAATGACATTGACAAAGAAGAAAGTCTTCTAGGGAATATAAAAGGTGCATTATAAAAAGTTTATAATATCAACGTACAGAACATTTTAACAACAAATATTCTTTTCTAAATAAATCAACAACAAAGTCAATTAGGGAATATAAAAGGTGCATTGACAAATTTTCAACGTACAGAACGTTTTACCAACACATATTCCTTGTTAAACAAAACAGCTTATTGGAGTGGGCAAGAATTTTGATTTATTTGTCTTAATGTATTCGGTTAAAACTAGTTCAAAGGCAAGTACACATGTTAAACAAGCCGTTGAAACAACCAAGGGTCTTCAATCAGTACAAACTAAATATAAACAGACATTAAGATTGTAGTGTCATTAGTGCAATATTGCTCATATTTGTAATCCATGTTAAATATGAAAAGTAAATGAAATCTAACGGGAGAATTGAATGAACACCTACATAGCGAGATCGGGTTTGTTTACTCTGTAAGCGTCTGCTGATATGCATGGGTCACCTACCATGCGAGTCTAGATTATAGGGTTCTGTATATTGTAAGAAGCTATACGTACAAATGACCGATAATTGCTTTTAATTATTGATTTAATATGTAATTTGGTTTTTGATGCATAGTTTTTACAGCATTGTTTGAGAATTATCTCATCATTTGTACTTACATGACACACAGGACTAGTGCCACATGTATGTAGAACAGCATCTGGCCACCCTTCCGGAACTTATATGATATTGTTTTATGGTGGCGTTCGAGTTGCTCAGTCCGTAGCGTTCTTTGCAGTTGGAGTTGTCATTTGAATGTCAATTTGGTGTCCTTCGCCTCTTTTCCTCTGATAAATAACAATTCCATCAATGTCCCTCGCTGGTTTTCAAATGCCTTTAGGAAAAACATTTAATCATAATTTGAGTTTTAATATGTTTGATGAGAGAATAAGGCAAAGCTGTGTATTGATCTTTGTGAACATGAATATGTATATTTAAGTACATTTAAATTTCCAGTCGAGTCATTTTGTTTTTCTCATTTCAAATATATGGTCAAATCAATCATTTACAAAATTCGTTAGATTTGAGCACCATCTTTGTATAATAATAAATAAGTTTAGAAGAACGAGGAAAGGGGTTTAATGGCAAACGAAATACGCATTATTTTTTTACTGTTGACAATCAGCAATGGGTTTTGTCAAACTACAAATGATGCCAAGAATCTGTTTACAGAATTATTCATCAATAAAAGTTACAATAAACAAATGAGACCTATAAACGACCAAGATGATGCCATTCTAGTGACTGTCGATTTCGAGATGTCCAGCATTCATGAACTTGATGAGGTGGCAGAAAAAATAGCTGTTGCAGGTTTCTTGGATCTTATATGGTGGGATGAACAGCTAGTTTGGGATAGAGCGGCTAACAATGATATTTACTACATGTTAGTTCTTCAGGTTTGTGACAATAAATTTACTGTTTTATCAACCACAGGTTTTAGTTTTTTTTCCAAAACGTTATTCTGTTGAACTGAAGAATTTATCGCATGTGATTTCTTCTTTGAACTTGATTAAATAATTTATAAAAGACATTCCACATCTTTTTGCAACTAACTATCATATGTTCAGAAAGGAACTATTTCGTTTAATTAAAAGTGTTTTGCATCTTAATTTTAATTTTTATTAACAATTAATGTATTATAAACTATGGAATATTGCTGTTGCGTCCAAACAAAGTTAAATAACAGGCGCGAATCTTATAAAGGAGTACATCGTGTCTTTTTGAAATATTAGAGGTTCAATTAATAGACATAGTAGAGTTAGTTTTAGAGATACAAAGTTCAAAATAAGTAACCTTTTCCAAAACAAAATTTTGTATTTGGTATCTAATTTCGAAAGACGAGACTGCGTTCACCAACCGTAACATTTAATCTGGTCTCGTTTATAGCCAGGAAGATCTCAGCAACTTCAAAGATAACACATATATTTTCAGTACACCAAAGACGTATTTCGTCAACTTAAGACGCACAAGTGGTCAATATTTGAAGAGATCATTCATCATGTTCATGCTATGAACATTTTAAAAAAACATTTTATGCAATTATTGTACAATAGGAAAAAAATATCCGCATAGGATTGATCTAAACTGTAATCAGGCAAAAATCACTAAAACTGTAAAAAAGTTTAAAGTAGATTAAATTTAACTGGTATGAACTCTTAAAGTTAAATATGTGTTTGACATGTTTTATACGATACGATATTATTTCTTAAGTTCGACGGACTAAGGTCCTAAGATGACCATTTGCAATGTTATTGTCAAAAAATGTAACATGAACATTAATAAATTAAAAAAATCCCAAAAGAACAACAATGAAAGATAAAGGAGGATTATGCTAAATAAAGGGGTTATAAAAGTTGATTTAGATGGGTAAACACATACTGTTCATCAATGTTAAAAACTTGTTGTCTTGAATATTATGCTCTTTTTAGGCTGAACATTGGATAATAAATTATTTTGGTTGTCAATAAAAAAGCGAGCATATTTAATTCAATTTCCACTGAATAGCCATTACGTGTCAATCAGTAATGATGGTTGTAATATTCTTATATGCTTAATGTATTTCAGGATACGATTTGGAAACCGGACATTGTATTAAAAAATGGTTTTCACAAGTTTGAAGAACTAGGCGGAAGTTTTTATTATGTCCGTGTTAAACACGACGGTCGAATATCTTGGTATCCGTATCACGTCTTTGAAAGTAAATGTTACATAGATGTTACTTTTTATCCATTTGATGAGCAGACCTGCCATATTATATTTACAATTTGGACGTATCGGTATTATGAAGTTGAAATTCATCCTGATTCCAAATTTGAACTTGACGAATATATAGAGAATAGTTTATGGGGAATTACTTCAACTTCGGTGCAGATAAACAGGATATTAGGTAGCAGTGAGATAATTTTCACAATTAATCTACGCCGGAAACCTACGTATTACATAGTCAATATTATAATACCTTTAATATTCCTAGGCATTCTTAATTCCATAGTATTTATTATCCCTGCCGATGCTGGTGAGAAAATGTCATATTCAGTTACTGTGTTTTTATCGTTCGCGGTATTTTTAACAATGATAACAGCCCAACTACCTGTCAATTCAGAAAGCACACCCATCCTTAGTATTTACATCGTAGTTCAACTGAGTTACTGTATTTTAGTTCGTGTCGTTAATTCGTTCCAGTTAAGAATACATCACAGACATGAAGGCAATGAAAAATCTAAAATATTTGTAATTGCTGTTAAACTTCAAAGAAGAATGTGTTGCTGGAGAAATAAGATACAATCTGATACACACGAAAAAGGACCCATCAAAGTTGAAGATGGAATTGCGATTGAAAATGCATCCCCTCAAAGGAATCACACCGAAGACGCAATGAAATGGCGTGATGTATCGTCTGCTATTGATTTCTTTGCTTTTTGGATTTTGATGGGAACAGACTTGATTACAACATTGTTAATTTTCCTACATATAGGTGTAAATAAATCAATCATATGATTTAAATGAAATGTACCGACGCTATACATGGCTCTACGATGTATCGGTTCAAAGCATTTTTTTATGAATTGATTTCTGCGGGTCTGTAATACCTGCAATGTTTCATTATGATAAGTCAAATGCCCTGTTTTCCAACAGCTACTTATAATCATAATACCATTAAAAAATTCAAATAATAAAAAAATATATGAAACCATATTTTAAACTCTGATTGTCTAACAACATTAACAATATGTCTACATCAATATGTTTATATTGCACAAAGTCATGCTTTGCTTAGACGCTAATTGGCGTTTTCCTACTTATTCTGTCAAATGTCTAATGGTTGATGTTTTAGTCTGAGTACAGATGTTTTATATATCATTTGATTGGCATTGAACTACAAGTATCTGTCAGTTACTGCAAGAAGTCTTAAAATGGAACATCACGTCTTTTGTTATTGTTTTCGAGCAAAATTGAGCATTCAAACCCTATACAACTGATTATTAAAGTAGTACTTGGATTCCGAACGGTAGTTCTTCGTTCCAGGACTTTAAAAATGGGTTGAAATTTAGAAAGTAGAAATGTGATACATGTATGATTAAGGATTTCAATGAAGTTGTTTCGTCCTTTATTCCAAAATGGGTAGTTTAATTGATAGAGCTGTTACTAGATTGCTTGTCCCCGATAGTGTCACCAACGTGTGAAATACTTTTACCTTTTATCATTGTTTAAATGAAAGATTGAAAGACAGGCTTTGTCGCAGTCACAATTAGCCACAGGCTTACCAGCCCAGGCTTGAAATATCACTATTATGTTAATGTTTTTGTAATTGTTATAAAATACATCAAATAACATAATTACAAATAATCTCGATTTATATTCAATTTTTAGAAATTTGCCTACGACGTCACTTTTTGTGGCGTTGATACATTCGTGTGACAGACACACAGTTCTTAATTCTATTATGCTGTTTTTGTGTACTGTACTAAATTAATTTTATTTATTCTTGTTATTCTGTGGTTAACATGTCGAAATGTACTATTATATTATTTATTTAATATGTATTTCTCTGTCCAGAGTGTTCTTGCATTTATTTGTACTATATTTCCGTCATGTAATGTTGTCATTTTAGCGGTATATTTAACATTGCCATAAAGTGCAAGGTTGGCTAACCACAAAACCAGGTTCAACCCACCATTTTTTGTTAAAATGTCCTGTACCAAGTCAGGAATATGGCAGTTGTTATTTAATAGTTCATTTCTATGTTTGTTGCATTGTCGTTTGTTTTTTGTTGCACTTCAGTGGTCTGTTGTTTCGTTGTTTTCCTCTTATAGTTGATGTGTTTTCCTCGGTTTTAGTTTGTAACCCGGATTTGTTTTCTCTCAATCGACTTTTGAACAGTGGTATACTACTGCTTCTTTTATTTGGGCCTGAAAAAATTTCTACCATCAGCCAACAAATTTACTTGTCCATGAGTTTGCATTAAAAATTGATGAGTAATGTGCTCCATAGTATACAAATTTAAGATTTACAGAAAACCAGGGGTTATTTTTAGTAGTACTTGGCTTCCGAACGGTAGTTCTTCGTTACAAGACTTTAAACATTGGTTGAAAATTGGAATGTAGAAAAGCGATACATTATGGTTCAGGACTTGCCTGGTTTCAGTGAAGTTAAACTTAAGGTAAAATATTTAGAAAGCTGAAAATTGCAACACCTGGTTAAATAGATAGGGATATTGAATTGGCGGTCTGACACCTTTAACGCGAAAAGCAGTGAAACCAAAAAATCAGAAAACAATGGATGTTTTTTTTAAGGATGTACTTACTAGGTAAAATTAAAAAAATCTAGATTTTTAAATTGATACTTTAAGTCAGAAGAGCATTAGTAATAGTAAAAGTTCAATGATAAGTTAATATTGACATTAAAAGACCTTCGAACAAAAGAGGATGTTGAGGAATTTGAACAGTTCTTTTTGTGAGAAGATCTTTTAATGTCAATATTAACTTAATCATTGAACTTTTTCTTACTTACAAACCAACAATAACATATGAAAAGTTACATAAAAACACTTGTGGAAGCCCAATTCCCCTACATTGGACGAGTTTGAATATATTCAACTTTAATAATAGTTAAACAGTACTCAGACTAATACAAACCAAATTGCGTTGGAAACGGACCGAATCAATAGCTGAACATCATTTAGTTTATTTAATATAAAACACCAATAGATTACCGATATCAAGGCACATACTCACGTGTGTTTGTTTACACGAACAGAAACACGCGTATGCGCAACTTAATATTCTAATTCGTTACCTCCGTTACCTCAAACGAATATAAAGTATTTATAAAAAAAATTAGGAATAGCTCGCCAGCTGTGCAGCAATTTTGACAAAGAAAGGCGCAAACGTGTGTTTTTTAAATTCCTAAATTTTTAGTTACTGTCAGACGTTCAGTGATACTCTTTTTGATATATCCATCCTTACAAAAAGATAAAGGACGAAAAATTCAATCATTACTATCCGACTTGATATTTGCTAAATTTAAATATCTCATAAACATTTCAACAGGACATGTAATTTGTCAGTTTTCGAAATGAGAACAACTCTACCCCCACGGTAAATATCATTTTTACTAGTATCTAGCAGTAAAACAATGTACGAATCATTAAAACAATATGGTTTCTTTTGATCTGCTAATTCGGAATACCTTAAGAATCCAGCAAAACTTATAAGGCACATACATGCTATTTTTCGTTAACATATATAGAATAACCATTTAATGCAAAATTTCTGGTGTAATGGGTTCTTTCTGAACAGTGTGTCCAGCAGACCTCAAAGTTCCTTCTTTCACAGAAATAACCAAATCCGATTTACACGGATTCTCAACTCTAGCTCATCTAGGAGCCTGACTTGTAGCATAAAAAGCTTCATTTATAATGCTAGTAGATTTACCAATATTTGTCAAATAAACTGAATATGATGCAACAGAAATATCTGAAGCAGGTAATGTGCTTGAAATAATAATAGATAAACACCACCTACAGAAAGCGTTGGGAACATATATTGTCGTTGAGTTTTGTCCGTTCTAGATGACAAACAGAAGGATGGTATCTGGTCCACGAGGATCTGCATGGATGGGGATTGTGTCTGACGAAAAGTACCAATATCAATCCATCTACTGGTTTTGAAGACATCTGAAAAATGTGCTACCCAATAGAGAAAAATAAAAACAAGTATTCATATAATAACATGCATATGCCATAAAAAGAACAATCGACCGTGTCTACTACAATATCATACTTCAACAAATGATACTAGGGCCATGTCGCTAAAAAAACCTTTATCTTCTACATTCCCAACTGAGTAACATGTACAATCAAAAAACTCATTTACCGTGTCTCTTCAATACCAAAATTGATATCAGGACCATGTGAAAGATCACAGACTAGCGTCTGGTCTAACTGCTAAAACGGTCGATAAATAAAATTCAGAATGGAAATGGGGAATATGTCAAAGAGAAAACAACCCGACCAAACAGCAGAAAACAACCGAAGGCCACCAACGGGTCTTCAACGCAGCGAGAAAATCCCGCACCCAGAGATACACTTTGGACTACTTCCTTTTGAACAGATTCTATTCGTTTCTTTTAAATTATAGCGCATCCTTCACAAATGCTTTATTAGGCCAACTTTTTTTTATAAAAAATATCTGACCAAAAGGGCGCAGACATCCATCGTGGGACAATCAAAAACCCTTTTGCTTTACAGTAAATCAGATGTTTAATTGTGCGTATAACTGATTTGTGTAAAAGCATATAACCGCTTCTGCGATCGGATTCCAGAAAAGTGAGTTGAACCTTTTTGTCTTGTTATTCATCACGCTAGCAAACCTACCAATTATAAAAAGTCCCCATAAACATTCCAAAAATTAAAAAAAATCATCTGAAATTTGCCAATCCTCATTATCACTCATTCTGGTAATATTATCTGCTTTTGAGTTCATTGTGCGAGGAATTCATTGTAATTCAATGAATATATTATGCTCTTTACAAATACATATTATAGAATAGACAAGATTTTTGTATATCTTCCTTCCTGTTTTATACTATACGTACACAGTTTTGGTTATCAGTAAACCATTGCAACCTTTTGCCCATAAATAAAGTACGACAATAAGGCATGTTTGATCACTCTTTCTTTCTAATTCATTGCACATTTTGTGAAAAATCTTATTTTCTAATTCTACAGTATAAGCCCTAAAACACAATTAATAGCTCCAATCTTAACCTAAATATCGTAATGCTTAGCAATCCTGCCTTCAACTCCTTTAAAATTATGACTAGCAGAAAAATCTTTTTTTTCTCAAGAAAATGAACTTGTGACATAAATTCGTCAAGTTCGTCTTTATTGCTATCACAGCAAGAAGATAAACACATACATACTTATAATTAAATAAACAGTAACTGGATCTTTGCTGTTTGGCTAGCTAGTTACTGGGTGCTGAAACTGTGGCTGACCTGAAGTTGAGGGGGCAGTTTCTTCTCAAGTGACCATACTGCTTACAGAAGGGACACATGTCAATGGTGCACGGCTCACGCCGTGTGGTGCTGGCACGAGAGGGTTGTTGATAACGACTGAAATCGTAAGCTGGAGTAGGAGCAGGGGCAGTAGCGATATTTTCAACTGCTGGAGTTGGCCTAGTTGTATACGGCTGAGAGCGGGTCTTTTTCTCCTTAAAAGATTTAAGGGCGCTTGTCTTTTTCTCGTCTTCATCATTATCGGCGATATCATTGCTGTCGTATTCTTTAACAGTAGCCCCCCCCCCGGAGGAGTTATCAGGAATCCTGATGAGTTTATTTCTTTCTTTACATTTACCCAGCAAATCACTAGCAATAGAAGAAAGGTACAGATACAAGGTATGTGTGCATTTTGTTAAGACCATCCATAATACTGTTGTTAAAACGAAACTGAAACCGATTCCCTTCTGATTTAAACTTAAT